ACGACAGATCCGACAAATACGACAGATCCGACCGACACGACAAATACGACAAATCCGACCGACACGACAGATACGACAGATCCGACCGACACGACAGATCCGACAAATACGACAGATCCGACCGACACGACAAATACGACAAATCCGACCGACACGACAGATACGACAGATCCGACCGACACGACAGATCCGACAAATACGACAGATCCGACCGACACGACAAATACGACAAATCCGACCGACACGACAGATACGACAGATCCGACAAATACGACAGATCCGACCGACACGACAGATATGACTGACACGACAAATATGACAGATCCGACCGACACGACAGATACGACAGATCCGACCGACACGACAGATACGACAGATCCGACAAATACGACCGACACGACAAATACGGCAAATCCGACCGACACGACAGATCCGACCAATCCGACCGACACGACAGATAAGACCGATACGACAAATACGACAAATACGACCGACACGACAAATATGACAGATCCGACCGACACGACAAATACGACCGACACGACAAATACGACAATAACAACAAATACGACCGATACGACAAATCCGACCGACACGACAGATACAACAGATACGATAGATCCGACCGACAGGGCAGATACGATAAACACGACAGATACGACCGACACGACAGATACAATAAATCAGATCGACACGACCGACACGACAGGTAAGACAAACACAACTGATACGACAAATATGATCGACACCCCCAACACGATAGATACGACAAACAAGACTGACATTACAGACACGACAAATACGACCGATACAACAAATCCGACCGACACGACAGATACAACAGATACGACAGATCCGACCGACAGGGCAGATACGATAAACACGACAGATACGACCGACACGACAGATACAACAGATACGACAGATCCGACCGACAGGGCAGATACGATAAACACGACAGATACGACCGACACGACAGATACAATAAATCAGATCGACACGACCGACACGACAGATACAACAGATACGACAGATCCGACCGACAGGGCAGATACGATAAACACGACAGATACGACCGACACGACAGATACAATAAATCAGATCGACACGACCGACACGACAGGTAAGACAAACACAACTGATACGACAAATATGATCGACACCCCCAACACGATAGATACGACAAACAAGACTGACATTACAGACACGACAAATACGACCGATACAACAAATCCGACCGACACGACAGATACAACAGATACGATAGATCCGACCGACAGGGCAGATACGATAAACACGACAGATACGACCGACACGACAGATACAATAAATCAGATCGACACGACCGACACGACAGGTAAGACAAACACAACTGATACGACAAATATGATCGACACCCCCAACACGATAGATACGACAAACAAGACTGACATTACAGACACGACAAATACGACAAATACGACCGATACGAATGGCACGACCGACACAACTCATAGGACAAACACGACAGATAGAACAAACACGGAAGAAACGACAAACACAACAGATACAACAATAATGACCGATATGAGAGACACGACAAACACGACAGACATGGGAAAATGGGACCCTCTCGGAAGCCAGCAAAACAAGAACTTTGGAAATCGGTTGACAAACGGCGGAGTAATCAGTGAAAAAAAAAATCGTCCGGACATCGTCTTCCTTTTTTGAAGTCGATAAAAATATATTTTTTTGAAAATAGCGTGAAAATCTGTAGGTCGTAGTCTCTGTATGATAACGGGCCCGTCTCTTAAATCCACGGAAGTCAAAATCAAAACAGTAAGTTTTTAAGTGTGGGAGAGCCATGCTTCGGCACGAATGGGCCGGCTCGACCGGAGTGATACCACGGCCGTTTCGTCGTGTGAGTGAGATTACCGGAAGCCCAATTACCCTCCCCTTCCCCAATCTCCCCAATTCCCGAACGATTCAACGATCCTCAAACTCCTAATCCCCAAAAGGCCGGTAACGCACTTGTAACGCCTCTGGTGTTCCAGGTGTCCATGGGCGCCGCCGATTGCTTACCATCAGGTGATCCGTCTGCTCGTTTACCGGCTTACGCCATAAAAAAAAGTAAAAAGTGAATGTTACATTTAGTTTTAAATATTTTAAAGGCATCTTCCTAGTTTCTCCACCCACACAGATTCACGAGTCACCTCAAACTGCCTGGAACTCGGCACCATTTGTAAATTGCGCCATGATGCATACACGTTATACGTTATGGAGTTTCTTGCTCGTTCTTCTCCACTCGAATCGACATTTTGGAACGAGCGCCTAGCTTCACTGACGGACTGACTATTATTTATTTCATATTTGTTGACGTTTTAAAAGTACCAAATTATGGTTTAATTGAAATAAATGCTTTTGAGTTTGAGTTTTGAGTTTGAGTTATAGAGGTACGTTCCTGACATAGTGTATATATATCTCACAGAATAGGGTAGATGCCTACTTTTATTTTAATGTCCGTCTGGTAGATTATTTTAAATCATTACACATGTATTTTACACGAATACTGGCTGACTTAGGTAATAGGATACTTTTTAAACCGATTCAATGCTTCCGTGGATTAGAAAAAGGAACCATAATCAACGCGGACTGCCTCGTTGGCCGAGTGGTCGCAAGTGTTCGATTCCCGGGTCGGGCAAAGTATTACTGGGTTTTTAAAAAATTCTCAGTAGTAGTCTGGAAATGTGCCCGGTATATAGCAATAGACTCACCCAATATTACATGAGACTCATAACATAAATAGTGAAAAGTGGGTGTTACATTGTACAGTGGCATAATGTGCACGTTTGCCTGCCGCTTCGGGGATAAAAGGCGTGATGTTATGTTATGTATTCGAAGACAAAGTCGCGGGCAACAGCTAGAAGGTAACAAAACATAACGATACGCAATCTAACTCGTCGAGTACCGGTTTTGTAGACACAATTATAGAATAATAGGTTGCGGTCACCGGTGACCGCTTGGTGTTTGACAGTTTAAACTATAACTTTAAGAACTTACTTCAACAAATCTCCTTTGGCATGCGCCATGGAATACTTCAAGTGATTCTCATAGGATTCTCGAGACACAAATATTTTGTCGCATTGATCACATCGGTACCTCGGACGCTCTGTGTGTATCTTCGCATGGTTCGCCTTTAAAGATATTCTCACCATTTTGTGGCAGATGTGACATTCTTCGCGAGGCGGTGGGGATTTGTGGCGCCTGCAAAAATATTAGTTAACTGGTACACATCTTTGATTACGAAGCAATATACCTATACTAGATTTTAACCATTAGTCATGGAGGTATTATTGTAATGTAATGCTCAAAGTAGAATCTATAATGTTACACTACACGCAAATGCTCGTTGTTACATTACACGCAAATGCTCGTTAGTCATGGAGGTATTATTGTAATGTAATGACCAAAGTCGAATCTGTAATGTTACACTATACGCAAATGACTGTTGTTACATAACACGCAAATGCTCGTTGTTATATTACACATAATTGCTCGTTGTTACATTACACACAAATGCTCGTTAGTCAGGGAGATAATTTTTTAATGTAATGTTCAAAGTCTAATCTATAATGTTACATTACACGTGAATGCTATATTGCTATATGAATATAATTTATTTCTTTTTTCGATAAAATAAAAACAAAATGCGGGTGGCTTCGGTTCTTTGCTCCCGAGGAGTACTATCAAGATTAATGGCTAAAATACTGAATATTTACCTTCCTGACTACATTGATTTACAGGAAACAATTTTGATACTTACTGCTCATGTCTTCTAAGGTTATTTTTGAATGGAAACCGTTGACCGCAGGTCGCGCATTCGAATCCTTCCCTATGACATTTTTGTACGTGTTTCCAACGCGCACTTTTATTACTGAAATCAGAATCAAATATATATTTTATAATCTACGTTTAATAAAACCATTTTCTTTTTTGAAGTCGGCTAATCTATCTATCTTTATATAGAGGTATATAATTCTGCTGTACGTGTGTATGTCATTGAACTCCTCCTAAACGGCTTGATTTCAATGATTTTTTCTGTACGTGTTTCAGTGGCGCCCTGGATGGTTTAGATTCACAAATCAGCCCGGCAGATGGCGCTGCAATCGAGGCCTTTTTTTTAAGGGGGGAAAATCATCGAATGACTTCTACCGCCTGGGTGAGGCGGGAGGGAGTGTCAGACTCTTACTGACTAAAAACCACCCCGTTCCTTCTCCAGCACCTCGAGCCGGAGTCCCGGCAACCCGTTAGGTTCTCCGCGACGGTGTCTAGGTTAGTCATCCTAAACGGCTGAACTAATTTGAATGAATTTTTGTTTATACATTCAAGTGGATATGCAGAACAACGTCTCTCGGGTCTGCTAGTATAAATATAAAAATGAAACCCGTTTCCCGTTGTCACGCCATAACTTGAGAATGGCTAGACCGATTTGGCTGATCTTTTTTTTTTTGTTTGTTATTGTCAGGAGAAGGTTCTCTCATGACAGAATAAAATTCTGAAAATCTTATGGGAACGGGAGTAAACGGGATTGCGCGTACGAAGTCGCATAGTCTATATAAATAAAAATTAATATTTCCATTCGTTAGTCTCGCTAAAAATCGAGAACTGCTGAACAGATTTGGATAATTTTGGTCTTGAAATGTTCGTGGAAGTCCAGGGAAGGTTTAAAAGGTGAGAAAAAAGTTTAAGGCGATACGAAGATTTAGGGCCAGCTAGTTGATATACTAAAAGGGTGATACTCCAAAAAAAAAACCAAAAAATTAACGACGTCATTATCCTTAAGTCAAAGTTAACAATTCTGCTGATTAAAATACAAAGTTTATTTTCAAGAAATGGAGCCGTGTCAGTGCTCTCACCCAATCCAATACAATACAGATGCTAATAAGTTATTGAGATTCTTAACAACGCGGGAAGATAATGATTAGTTGAATAAAAGTTGAAAGTTTTTTGAAGAAACACCCAAAACCTATGTACAGTCCTAAAATGACTGACGTACATATTTTGTTTCTATAAATACCGATACAACATAATAAATGAGTGAGTGCAATTACTGCAACGCGGTAACCAACATTAGAGAAAGGAATCGTCAACAGTTTTATTGTGAACACAATTAAACGTTCTAAATCTAACTAAGTGAATCTTTTCTCTTCGCGCTCCGACCTCAACAACAACGCTGCAAGTGTACGTACCGTACAACCTACTAAGGGCCCATCCATAAATTACGTCACAACTTAAGGGGTAGGGAGGGGGTCGACAAAGTGTGACATTGTGTGACAAGGGGGAGGAGGATATCCAAAACTTTGTGATATCACATTCAAAAACTTGTACAATCTGTGTTAAAATACGATATATAATTGTATTAACGTTTTTATTTTGTTAATTGTTTGATTTTATATTAATATTTTTGAAAGTAATTCTTACTCCTGCACTTCGAGCCAGAGCCTCGATAACCCGTTAGGCCTTCCGCGGCTCCGTAAGTTGCCCTCACATTAGACTTCCTCTACAAGGGTTTAAACCATAGCCTCCACGCTCGACAGGCGTGATCGCAGTATAAAAGGTTCAGATTTATCAGAGAGCGCTGCTACCTAGTTTCAGTCAAATGTGTAGTCCCTTAGTCGGGTACACGACACTCGCGGGAAGGGTAGGGGTGGCACACAGTCATGGCATCACCCAGGGCGTACATACTTAAGTAATGTAAAGTATGTAAGTAATGTAAAGTATTACTTACCCGAAATATTTATCGCATTCATCACATTTGTATTGTAAAGGCGTCTTGTCTTTTAATTTACTTGAAGTTGGTACGTCTTTCTTCAACTTCTCCGTACTCTGCAAAGAAAAATTTACATCATCATCGTCATCGGGCGTGCTGAACATAGATTGCACGGATAGCGCAGAGTTTCGGATGGCTCATTGAGGTGCGCGCAGAACGCTCGGCGCCGTACGCTCGGGTCTGTTTCTGGTCGGACGGGGAGCCACCCATGCTCGCCGTCCGCAGGCCCGCGCTGACGGTGGCCGGAGTTCGTCTCACGATCCCCGACGCCCGGTGTGTCCTTCGCGATGGCTGGGTTGCGAGGAGGCTGCGCTTCGCTGCCTCACGCGTCTTACCTCTTTTTTAGCTAGCATCACTGCTTCGCAAAAGGAGGAGACGGCATCCCAGTCCCCCTCGCTCCGCATCATGACCTGCACTAGGGCCGGACGCGAGAGGTCGCCATCGTCAATCACATCCCTGAGGGCACGGCGGTGCTCAGCCCACGCAGGACATTCCCCAACTGTGTGTTCCACCGTGTCCTCAGGGCGGTCCTCGCAGTGATGACACCCGGGCAATTCCTCCCGCCCTATCAGACACAGTCCCGAAGTTCCCGTGTCCGGTTAGGACCTGCGTTAAGTGGTAGGTGAGGCCGCCGTAACGTCTCTCAAGCCACTCCTCAAAGAGGGGACTTACCGCTGCAATAGCAGCGATCCCAGTCAGTTAACGGTCATTTCGCTAATGCAATAACTACTTTATTATAAGTACTCACCGTTTTGACCTTCTTAGTCGAAAGTTCTTCAACCTCATGTGTAGTTTCCAAATGTAAATAGATAGCATTTTCATTCAAACTTGTATATTTGCACAATTTACAGTCGTGTCTATGGTAATGCTCTTGTCTATGGCATGTGTACGATGACGTCAGAGTATAGACGAGGCAAACATCACATTGCGTGTGATTTGGTTTCTGAAAGAGGACAAAGATATTGGTAGTCAAAAAAGAGATATGCTTCGGCACTGCTATGTCGGCTTGACCGGAGCGATACCACGACTAGGGCCGTCTTAGACTACGCTGGAGCCCTTTCAGAATTCTTTTTTTAATGGAATAGAATGAGGAATCTCACACTATTGTAACATTGCCCCACACATTAATTTTGGGCATTCTTTTCCAGCCACACTTTTGGCTGATGCAGAGACAAAAACAATGGTCGATGCAAGAAGCAACCGTTTTTTGTTTTTAAGGGGGGAAAATCATCAAATGACTGCTCCCCCCTGGGTGAGGCTCCCGCCTCACACAGGGTGTGTCAGACTCTTATTGACTAAAAACCACCCCGTTCCTTCTTCTGCACTTCGAGCCGGAACCTCGGTAACCCGTTAGGTTCTCCGCGACTCCGAAACGGCATCAGCCCTCTTGGGCCCCATCCGTGGTGGTCTGATGGCTCTTTGAGGCGCGCGCGGAACGCTCGGTGCCGTACGCTCAGGTCTGGTTCTGGTCGGACGGGGAGCCACACATGCTCGCCGTCTGAGATCGTTACGGTAAGCAAGCGTATACAAGAACTATGACCAAGAGAAGTACATAAAAAAATATAGTATACTTTTTTACTAAAATACAAGTTCACATACACATGATACCCGGACCCAAAATAAAAATCTGTGGATTACACAAAGATTTGCTCCGTGCAGGTATCGAATCCGTTACGCGTGTAACCGTCGTAGAACTTCTCGGTCCTTCGGGGCCACCAGAGGATGGCCCTGGGCACGGGCCGCGAGTGCCCTCATGGTAAAGACGATACTGACCACGACGGAACAGAACACAGACGTATAGCAACGTTTGTCCCGTATTTCGTCGTGTGAATCACTTTCATTACATCTAAGCAAAGGCCTCTTCTGACACGGAGAAGGTTTGAGCATTAATCACCGCGCTTGCTCAATGCGGGTTGGCGATTACAAAGTTGGCGTCCATGGGTGACGCCGATTGCTTACCATCAGGTGTGAAGAAAGAAAAAAAACTTTATTTCACATGCTAAAGATAAGTGACATGTACAGATTATAGTGTTAGTTTAGAGGTATATATATACCAATGGGTAGATGTCCATATACCAGATAGGTACCATGTCCCAAGTCTGCGGTGAAATGGGAGCAGCATGTGCAAGACAGGGCCTTGCGCTATAAAAGACAGGACGAATGCTACATTAAAAATGACATACAAACCTCTAAATGTAATGAATTATGTTCAGCCATTGCAGTTTCGTTATCGAAAATCTCAATACAGCTATCACATTTAAAACTTGCAGCCAAAAATTCAGCATCTAACCTACAATCACCTCTCATCTTCTCCAATTCAGAATCATCGATAGGAACTGTAGAAAAAACTTTCTTTAAATACTTTTTCTTCTTTTTTACACCTGGCAACACTAAAGTGTTTGACAGTTCATCCTTATTGTCTATGGTTGTTGACAGTTCATCTTTATTGGCTATGGCTTTTGAAAGTTCATCATTGTTTACGGTTTTTAGGGGTTCATCTTTGCAGTCTATGATTGTTTCTGGGACATGGTCTGGCCAGTTATTGAGTTCGGATAATGGAATGTCATCATCATCAAATTCATTCTTTATGAGTATGTCCGTAGTTGGACCACAGTCTATAAAACCTTCTGTTAGATTTATAAAATTCTCTGTATCTGTGCATTTTGATGTTACGGCTACTTCATTTAGTTTTTTGCTAGTAAGGCGGGATAGGCATGTTGTATTGACCTGTAAATAGAATATTATTTATGTAAATAAATGCTGGGATTAATATCGAAGTATAATTGGCCTCATTGGCCCCGTGGCTGTATGTAGTATGACTACAAGCAAGGGGTCTAGGGTTTGATTTCCAAATTGAGTAAAATATCATAGGGCTTTTTTAGTTGATGGAAAATTTCTCAGAAACAATAAGAAATATGGCCCTCCCTCCTTCACTTTTTATTACATAAAAAAAATAAAACCGACTTCAAATGCGAGAACACAAAAAAAAACTAAAAATTAAAAAATAATTCCTAATACCTATTACCTAATACTATAATTTTTCTAAACTATATCAAAGTAATTAAAGTTAAACCATCTAAATATCTTAAAATAGTTATACTTATATACCTACCTATTGTTTTTTGGAGTCGGTGCCAGTAATAAATGAATATTAAACCTAATGAAATAAGAAAAAGTACTCAATGAAACAAAAATATTAAGAAATAAGTTGTATGTAGCCTGGTACAACTAAACCTATACCAACAAAGAATAACAAATACCTACAAATCCTACAATAGAATACAACAAACAAAAAAGAAAGCAATAATTTGAAATATTGACGACGAAAAAATATCTCAGTTTTGGCACGGAGTCTGGAATTGTGCCCGGTATATGGGAATAAGCTCGCTCCCATTAGGTATGTACATGGGACTCATAACATAAATAGTGAAAAGTGAATGTTGCATTGTACAGTGGCATTAAGTACTGTAAAATGCACCCCTGTGCCTTCGGGGATAAAAAGCAGTGATGTTATGTTATGTATAATGATTATTTATGAAAACATTAATTAATTATTTAATAAATGACATGAAATTTAATGTAATTAATAGAAAAACATTCGCCAGCAGCGCATTGATTAGAAAAGATCACTAGACATAAATAAACCACTGTATTAGGAAAAATAAAACAAGAGTATGTTATGCCTTGTTCGCACTATGCTAATATTTTATTCAAACAGTGAGTGTTTAGTATATTCTTCTAGAGATGTACTAAGTACTCGCTACTTGACTAAAATACTAGAATAGTGGGAACAAGGCATTAAACATTAAAAATACTTACATTAGTCCGTCCATCAGCAATGTCACTCAGACACCTCTGAGCTGTACAAGCTTGTTTTCTAAACCTAGTAATCCGACACATAACAGCTCTACACTCCCAGCAAATGAACAAACTTGTTGTGTCTCTGTAGAAACCTTCCTGTAATTAGATAAAAAGTATTTAAAAACAGATCGACCTTTTTGAAATGATTAAGTGCCAGTTTCACCACCTTCATATAAGCGCTTGATAAACTTATGTGGCAGACAGTTTATACAAATTATTATGTTCTTAATTTAAGTTTATCAGGTACATAGCGGCTATAACAACTTCGTGAATCAATAAATTAAATATCAACATAAAAAATCATATGAAGAATATGAACTTAGAACCTGCTTCAATTTAAAAAAAAAGTAAAATATAGAATAGAGTACACACAAATATTATAAAATCAAAGATTAATAAACAAATAGTGTTCTCACATAAGAATAAGTATACAAATTGCTCTATAGAAGTGTACGAACTTTTTGTAACATAAAAGGCTGTTATCGTAATATCAATGACATATTAATTAATTCAATAATAACAATACATGTTTTATAAAGTATATACTTACTCTATAGGCCTCAGAATCGTAGGATAACAGTGAATATAAGTTATTTATACCATCAGGTAATCTACATAACTGAAATAGCTTCCGATCTCTGCTTAAACAGGTACAACAAAGCTTTTTTAGCTCAAATTCCAGGTTTTCATCCATTTTTATTAAGTGATAGAATATACAATCTTATAGTTTCATTTTTGCAAAATTATACAAAATCCGATCATTTGTATGCAAAACAAATCGTCAAACGTCAAATTAATAAAAGTGTTGTTAGCATTGTTATAAAAATTACAATAAAAAATATTTATAATTTGTAATAGTTGATAATTTAGGTCTGTTATCTCATTTAATCGTTCTGTGAAGTATCATTATATTTTTCAATAATTATATTTTTATTCTTTTTATATATTTTATATTAACTTTGAAGTCGATTTATATGAAAAATTAATCCTTACATAGGGAAATTTTTAGACAATGGTAACACTTGAGTAGACGTCAAAGAAGTGTTTAGCTCTGGTTTTGTCTTTGGTATACGTTGGATTACCCATGAAAATAGGAAATTACTTACGTATAAAATACCAAAAAGGTAAATATTCGCGTATGCTAATAGTTTTGAAAACAGTCTATTGGACATCAAAATGATTCAAAGTAAAAATACTTCACCGTTTTTAAGGAATCTCTCTGAATTGAGGCTGACATCCCCAAACAAGCCAGGAGGAAAGTTTAGGAAACAAAACAATTTTGTCTATGGTCCCTACCTAAATAATGGCCTATGGCTACTGTATCATTAATTTTATTGTTTCTATTGTGTATAATTAGTAAATAAACACGAAAACAAGATTTTCTTAAATCTAAAACTACAAAGCAACATTGCATTCATGAAGAACACACAAATATATCTGGAGAAACGTGTAAATTGCTTATAACGAAAATGAATATAAATGTCAATGTTTATGAAGTTCCTGTGGTGAACGCTGTTATAATGCACCAACCGGCGCCCCCAGAGCCTCAACAGAACCATGTACAGCAGCCCCCGCCTCAGGTTAACCCACCAGAACAACAACAACAGCACCTCGTTGAGAGAAAACCGAAAATCGATAAGAAAAAGAAAGAAGCTATTGAGGGGCAAGCTCGAGAGATAATCTTTAAGGTAATAAAGTTCTTTGAGAGTGAAAAACAGAACAGAGGATACGCGTATCCAGTAGAGAATGTTGTTAAAAGAGCGTGTGCGGCCACAGGACTGTCTGAAAGTACAATAAAGAGGATAAAACGCGATGGTTTGAAAGCAGAGGCAACACAGACTAAAATTGCTGGCCCCAAGAAGAAAAGAGTTCGGAAAACAAAGGTTCAACTGGATTACTTCCAGCTATGCGCTCTAAGAGGTATAGTGAATAGTTATTCAGTGAGAAAAGAGGTCCCAACACTTGGGAAGATTCTTAATGCCGCAAAAGTAGAATTAAACTACAGAGGAGGTAAGGAATCTTTAAGATTAATATTACTAAACAAGCTTGGTATTAAGTTTAAGAAGTGTGAAAAGAAGAATAAGAAGCCTCCGGAACAACCACCACAACCACCGCAACCTCAACCGCAGATCCAGAATATCATGCAACACCAACCGATGCAGCAGGTTATGAAACCAGTTGACAATCAGTGTGTCTACACGTCTATGATGCCGCATGTACCACCAGTATCGTATTAAACTAGGTTACAATGAGAATTATATCAAATATGTTATGTTTTGTTCTTAAAACTGGTGTTACGGATCATTTTGTTATTATTTTATAGGTGTTCTGATAAGAATGTCGTGTTTTCATATTGGACTATAGCTTCTTGTGCGCTTTCACCTGCTGCTCGGGTCCTATTGAATGCAGCGTGATATTTTATAGCCTATACCCTTCTTTGATAAATGCGCTATCCAACACAAAAGAATTATACAAATCTGACCAGCGATTAACAAGTTCAAACAAACTGACTAAAATCGCAGGTTACTTACATGAATATACTGAGAAAAGCTCTACTAATTTCGAACCACAGAGGGGTTCTTCCTTATGAATAGCGTGCTTCAGCTTTATATTATTGTATAAGAAAAGATAGTATGTGATTGGGACGGCTAATACTTCAAGAAGTAGCATCAAAACTTTTGGTTAGCCCAATGTCTTGTGTTGGTTATAGCCATATATCCCCAAGCAGTCACCAATGATCACTCTCGACTAACTACATTATAGACCTTATTTCCAATGTTTAGAGACTACTTATATATGAACGGATGTAGCGGATGATATTTCAACAGGATAGAGTAACTTATTAAGCCACAATTATGAAAAATCTTCAAAATTTATTCATAAAAAAGTAGTTTTTAAATACCGGAAATACGGTCTATAGTGGAGTTAGCGGAGAGCAGTCACCGGTGACAGCTTTAGGACCCCGGTCCTACCTAACTGCCCGCAGTTAGGTATTCCAACAGTACTAGAGGCATCAAAAGTTACTATGAAGGAGCTTCTTTTGATCTATTCAGGGTTAATAAAGGACTAGCTTCCTAGCTTCTGCCATCAGCTTCGCCCGCATTTACATGGGTTCAAAAATAGCCTACGTCTTATTTCAGATCTTAGTCTACCCATACTCCAAATATCATCCTGATCACTTCCGCCATTTTAACGTAACTGAGTAATAATTGACAAACATACATGCAAACTTGCATTTATCATACTAATTAAAACTAGAACTATTTTGAGTAGTTTGGTATGCTGTTGGCATCCAAATTGGCATCAAAATAGTCTTATTAGAATCACCTAGATTCCTTAACCAACGAGCATGGATGAAAAGATTGATGACTGTTGATGAAGCGAAAGAGGTATGTAGGAATCATAGTATTGGGCGTTCCATAGTCTCTGTCTGCCCCCATGGGAAACAGGCGTGAAGTTATGTATGTATGTATGTATTAGATTCACTATCAGCTCTATTAACTCGTCGAGTACCGGTTTTGTAGACACAATTATAGAACAATAGGTTGCGGTCAGTTTAAACTGTCAAACACCAAGCAGTCACCGGTTTAATTTTTTTAATAACAAAATGATCCTGTAAACTATTTGTCATTATGAACTAGAATTACAGTTGAATAATTAACTATTGCCAGTTTGACACCAATTCAAGGTATATTGATCGATTTTGCAGTACTACCTGTGTGGAAAATTATCAAAACAACGTCTCCTCCCACCCTTTTTTTATTTTTGAGGGGGGAAAATCATCCAATGGCTTCCACCGCCTGGGTGAGGAGAAGGAGTGTCAGTGACTAAAAACCACCCCATTCTTACTCCTGCACTTCGCGTCGGAGCCCCGGCAACCCGTTAAGTTCTCCGCGGTTCCGTATCGGCATCAGCCCTATTGGGCCCCATCTGTAGTGGTCAGCAATCTGCGTCGCCCCATGGACACCCGGAATACCAGAGGCGTTACAAGTGCGTTGCCGGTATTTTGGGATTAAGAATCCGAGGATTGGGGAAGGAGGAAGGGGGGGGGGAGAATATTGGGCTGCTGGTAACCTCAATCACACGGCGAAACATAACGCAAGCGTTGTTTCACGTCGGTTTTCTGCTCGGCCGTGGTATCACTCCGGTCGAGCCGGCTCATTCGTGCCGTGTTCCGTGTTCGAGCATGGCTCTCCCACACTTGAACACTTAAGTCTATAGCGGGTTACCGGGGCTCTGGCTAGAATTAGACGTAGGAATAGGGTGATGTTTAGTCAGTGTCTGACATTCTCTCTCGCCTCACCCATGGCGGGAGGTCATTGGATGATTTTCCCCTTAAAAAAAGGTTTGGTCCAGGCATTTCTGTAACACTACCTGTTGTCGATCAGCGCCTCAATAGGTATGATGACGAGATATGAAAATTAAAAATCCATTTAATCCGTCAGTTGGTAATAAAAAAATATTAGACATGTATTTTTTATATTTTACCGTATAATAAAGCAATACTTGGATAAAACGTTTCAAAGTTTAGGAGTGGGGGCTAGCTACGTCATTTCTACGTATAAAACGTAACCTAGAAGTGACGTCACGCGTAGTTTCAAGTCATTATATCGTCGAAAGTATTTGTTTCCGTAAGAAAATAAAAAATACGTGTCTAATGTTTTAAAATAATCTACCAGGCGGACATTAAATTAAAAATTAGTCATCTGCTCTATCGTATTAGCCAGTATAATATTATATTTTCGAAAATCATGGACAGTTTTTGACTAACAATAATAATTTAGTTATCTGGTCTAGGTTCCTAGAGAGTATATTAAAGTATGAACTCCATCGCAATTAGTTACTCGACACCGTTTAATAATATTCAAGTCTGTTTTAAAAGAATAAGGTCGAAAATTGTTAAAGAAATATGAAAAATTGTGTCGGTAACTATCTGTATATGGAGAAAAGTATTGAAATCAATGCAAGGGCAAACCCTTTTTAATGGAAAGCGTTTTAAAGGGATAAGGAATCATTTAATTAAGCGATAAATAAAAAAATTAACTTCCTTCAAAAAACTAATTCCATTTTTGGAGAGTTCATTTCGCACCATGGTCCGACACAGACCTAAAGATATCGACGTACCCCAAATAATGAGCAAGCTGAAATGGCAATAAGCCAGTCACATTTGTCGAAGAACCAGTGATCCTTGGGGTAGACGTGCTCTGAAGCGGAGACCGCATCTAGGCAAATGGAGTGTAGGACGGCCTCCAGTTAGAAGCAACGACATCCGCAGTGGTTTGATGCGTAGACCTGAAAATAGAGTTCAGTGGCATGCCATTGGAGAAGCCTGTCCAGCAGTAGACGAAAACAGGCTTTCCCACCAACTCGAGCAAAACAAAAGGGCTTTACTGTCCCATCCTTGTTTCGCTGCTCGCCGCCCGACCAGAACCAGACCCGAGCGTCGGGCGCGTTGCGTTTCGCGCGCGCCTTAAAGAGCCATCAGACCACTACAGATGGGGCTAATAGGGCTGATGCCGATACGGAGCCGCGGAGAACTTAACGGGTTACCGGGGCTCCAGCTCGAAGTGCAGGAGTAGGAACGGGGTGGTTTTTAGTCAGTAGTAAGAGTCTGACACGGATCCCGCCTCACCCAAGCGGGAGAAGTCATTCAATGATTTTCTCCCTTAAAAAAATACAGATAAAAAATTGGAGTGATATTGATATAACCACTTTTTACTACATGCGTATGAATATGGATCTGGTTCTGGTCGGACTGCGGGCGGCGAGCGACCCATGCTCGCCGTCCGCAGGCCCGCTTATTTATGTATAGGTGAATCCTTTTCCCTCTTAAAAGCTTTCTATTAAAAAAGTAACGCCTTATAAATAAGGTTATAAAATAAATATAATATTGTTTTCAAATCAGAATCCTGTTAAATAATATAATAAAAAAACACTACTATATTACACTGTTTGGTATTAATAGCAATGACATTCACTGTTAAAATACTGTAAATATTCTATTTATACTTTAACATGTATTTTTTGTCTGACTGCCTCTTTGGTCGAGTGATCGCAAGTGCGACTGCCGGGCAAGGTTCCTGGGTTATTTTAAAAAATCTCAGTACTAGCATGGAGTCTGGAATTGTGTCCGGTATATGGCAATAGGCTCACCCCCTATTACATGGAACTCATAAAATAAATAGTGAAAAGTGGGTGTTACATTGTACATACAGTTGCAATAACTGCCGTAATGTGCATCTCTGCCTACCCCTTCGAAGATAAAGAGTTATGTCATGTATTTTTTCTGATGACATGAAGGTCACAGATAGCAGTTGTATGCAGGTCGCTTCCAACCTCGCGATGTGTAGTTATTGGGGGAGGACTGTGGTAGGCAGTAGACGATTTGCTGCTAATATGTTGATAATGTTGTATTTTTTATTTTTCTATTTAACACACGATCGTAGATCTTTTTAAGTAAAACTAAAGATATTTGAAAAAAAAATATCATGTCAAAACAATCGAAGGGTCTAATAACTAATTATATTTCGTAACAAAAAAAGTATGGTCACCCAAGTCATTTAGTATGCAGGTAATAAAATAAAATAAAGATCGATTCAGTACAGAGACAGTAGCTATAGTAATACTAAATTATATACTTTCATAATAACTATCGTGAGACAAACTAAATTAACTAAAAATCGCGGGTTACTCACGTAAATGTAGGTACTGAGAAAAGCTCTACTAGTTTCGAAATTGTATGCTTTGTACCGAAGCCATATCTTGTGTAACCATTCGTGGACTCAGTAGACAATCAATGGTTACTGTCTCTGTACTGAACCTTTGTTTTCTTATTTGCATACTAAATATGGTTGACAATACATGGATCTACTTAATTATGAGAAATCGTTTTTATTCTGCAACTTGTAAGTATAGATATCATAAATATTATAAATAAAATGTTATGGTGCGTCCACATCTAGTGAATGCTCTACAGCTCGCGAGCAACTTGCGAACAGCACGAGTAATCTCGGTAGGTGTGTACGCACCATTATAGCAGTATTTGGTTAGATTATTGAGTTTTTGATTGTCAAATGTCAAATTATATATATATTAAATTGGCGCTCCGCTTCATCGCCACGTTCATTGTTACGTATATAAATGTTTTCTATCTAAGAACAGATGAATTTTAATGCAGTAAAATGTAAGTATCTGAGGATTTTTCGTATATATCAGTTGTATATATATTTATCCCTGAGGCAAACTAGGCAAGGGCGCGAGGTTTCGCGAGACGTGCGTGCCCAAATGTTCTTAACCTGCCTGTCCATTGGCGCAGAGCGAGACAGCGGTGCGGAACTAGCGAGTATTGCTGAGCGGAGTTATGGACTACCAAACTTCAGCGGTATACTGTACTATCCCAATATCCCATACCCCCGCCCCGCTCCCGAGACCGCTTCCCCGCCGCCGGCTCGCTCAGTTACCTCGCACCGCTACCACGCGCCGCTTCCGAAAATGTATGAATTTTTAAACTAGCTCGCAAATCCCTTTCCACTAAAGCGGGGCGGAGATTTCATGCAATCCTATTGCTTAATATTTCTTCGTTTCCCCGCTCCGCTGCCTCTCTCCGCGATGGACAGGCAGCCTTAGAGGCGGCGGCGGCGCTAAAAAGCTTAATGGCGCCTATGACGTGCTTGCCTAGTTTCCCTATGATGTATATACAACCAGAGAATAGAAAACCAGTTACTACCAGTGAACCATTAAACCACCACTGGTTGTAACTATTCATTCTATAGAACAATGATTAAGTTTTAAGTCGAAATAGTTTATCACATTCATTGTTTTAAAATAAGTATCAAACTTTTTTACATATGACTCAACGTTACTGGTGAAAAGTGGGTAGTTATCGGAACCAGCAATAATGTTTTATCTCTTTCTTATTGTGTGTGTGTGAAAGAGAGACACCTAGCTACAATATTGTTTGAAATTATACATTTTAAGTTTGAAAATCATGAATCTGTTTGTTCTTGTGAGCAGAGGTTTTTGCCTCGCACTGGGACAGAAAGGCCTGCCATACACGGATTCGAGCAGTTCCCCAGTCATTCACATACATCGCTCTTGTAGTTAGTCAACAGCTTGAATCTGCTATTGATAACTGCTTAATCAGCAATTTAAATGTTAATGAAAAATAGCGTGCAAGGAAAACCACGGGCGGGGGTGGAAGCAATGCTCTGAAGATGTAACAACGAGAAGTCCGTGTATGGCGGCTCTTCCAGGCCAATATTTCTTATATGAATAGCTTTTGTCTGCACATATATATAACCTTTTTGGTAGGAATTTATGTAATTTTTCTCTCAGCACTCCTACAACCCGCTACATGTCATCACAGCTTGCTACACGCAGTAGTTACAGCTGTGTGCAGTCTGTCAGT